TAAAATATTTAGGTATTTCTCAATATCTCAATAAAGACATGCCATTGCAGTATGATTGCGGGTTAAAAAAAAAAAAAAAAAAAATTGAAATGCTATTATTATAATATATTTCTTTATTATATAATTAATGAAGCTTGAATGTTTTTCTAAATTTTATGAGTATTTGAATTTGAACTGATTTATCAATTTGAGTTATTACTTGTAAAGTTTCTTTTGATGTCTAGAAAGGTGTTAATTTGTATTAGTTTAATCAAAAGCTTTATAAGATTAATGTTGAACTTTTAAAAGTTTATTATAATTTAGTCCTTCTTTTTGTTTTTCTCTTTTTAAAAGAAAAAATTTATATAGCAAAAATTAATAATTTTATAAATTTTTTTTTTTTTATTCTTTGAAAAGTACTTTTGAACTTGCTTTTTATAAGTTATTTGATTGCAAAAATAGTTTTTTTTGTTTTTCTAGTTGATTTTTCTTTTTTTCAAAAAATTATTAAAAAAGAAATTTTTTTGAAAATTAGAGATCAGTAGAAAAAGTTTAATTTTAATAATAAATAATTTTTTGTTTCAAAAAATTTTTTTCAAGCCTTTTATTTAAATTATTTTTTAAATTTTTAATTTATTAAAATTTTTAGTTTAATTAAATTAATAAATTTAATTTAAGAAAAAAAATACAACAATATTATTATTATCATAATAAAGTCATTTTTTGTCTCATTTAGTTTTTAAAACTGTCTTAAAAACTTTAATTAATTTATTTTTTAAAAAATTAATATAAAATAAGTATATGTTATTAATTTTATAACTTTTAATAAGAAAGTTTTATAATCTGAACTCAATATTAACTTGCACTGACAAACTTCAAAACTTAATTATTCTAGTTTAAAATAGTATAATTTGATATATTTAAATAAATATATTTAAATAAAGAATATATCAAATAAAACTTGTTTGAATATTTTAGGTAATAATAAAGAAAATTGAAAGTTCTTTTCAATATTTAAATAGAATATATTTATACAGTATTTATATGTTTGATAATTAATCAATTCTTGAGAATTTGTATATTAAATAGAATAGCTAGTATATTATATATAACGACTAATATATATATGATTTCTGCTAATTATTTAATCTATGCTATTAATAGAGTAAGTATAAAACAGTTGATATAATGATTAATTGGCAAATTTTAATAACTGATACTTGAATCGAATCTTACATTTGATGCTTGTTTTGTGGTTTAAAAGAAAATTTTTAAAAAAAAAAGTTTATATTATAATTTATTCTTTTTTCGATTTTAATACTAATTTTTTAATTTACTTTTCTTTAAAAAAAAAAAAAATTTTTTTTTATAATTTCAACTCTGTAAAATTTAACATAAACGAGATAATATTAAATACATTAAGCCATTTATCGATTGAAAATATACAATATGCTAACTGATAGCATTTACATATATGCTATAACATTAATCAAACTGTTACCGTGTTTCACGTAATGTTTAATTTACTGCGATTTAAACTCGAATTATTTTCAGGAGTTGACAAGGTAATCAAGATGCTAGTATGGTCATACACACGTGGAAAGGGAATTTGAAAGAAAGGCGCGTTTATCGTCTCCATAAATAGATATTTAACTACGGACCATAAATATTTATGCGCCTCTATTACTTTTATTCCGTTAATGACGTGATACTATTAAAACACGTAAATTCGTGTTACGTTCTACAGCAAACGGATAGTAACTACGCTTGGAATCATTCAATGCCCGCCTGCAGCGCATTTATTCTTACCATAATTTTTTTTTCTTTTATCGTGGAGTAAGAGTGAAAAAGTTTGTTTCTTAATACATTCCATCCATGACAGCTGTGTTGTGCTTTTTTACCTTGTTTTCGGAAGTCGATAAAAAACGAACGTGCCTCGCTACGGTATAAACAACAATATGCGAGCAGAGAAAGTTTTTCTCAATAATAAATTATGCAATTCTAGAAGTTATTTTGATTGTCATGTAATCGAGTTGCTTTAAATTTTTTGTTTGCAGAATTCTTTATTTGAGGGAAAAAAAAAAAATCCTAAAATTACAAAAATCCAAAGAATAATAAAATTCGATTCTACAATGAAAGATTCTATGATCGATTAATTTCTTTATATTCGAGTTATTCGAGTGATCACCAATTCCAAACTCTAACGCATCCAACAACTCTTTGAATCTGTTTAATCAATTCAACATTTATGATATGTTTGGTTTGTATTCGAAGGTCCTCTAATTTACTGCTACTTTTGGTCTGGTGCAAATATCTCTCTTGCCATCCTCCATAATGTCTTTCCTTGCCATTAACGCCACACTTACAACCATTCTCATTATGCTTTCCTCTTTTATTTTTACTTCGTATATCCTTCATCATGAAACCCTCGCTGCTCGTATAACGTCTGCTGCCTCCATTTTTCTTTCCATACTTACCATACTTGCCACCGCCACCACGTTTTCTCAGACCACCACCACTATGATAATAATCCCCGCCACACCAAAATCTATCTAACAATACTTTAAAATGCTCATTGTCCACGCAACAACTCCACAATATTTCAAATTTTTTTAGTTTCGAGAAGCTTTCTAGAAATAATTCTAGGCTTTCAGCAGTAAAAGTCCAACACGAACGTATGGCCAATTTTTCCAAATTGTTCGCGCTAATTGCACTCATCGCTCTAAATAGGTCATCTACATTTATTTCTGGATATCTAGGCCCAAATATTGTTAGGCATTTTAAATTTATACATGAGCTCATAAATAACGGTAGTTTTGAAATTGTAGTGGTGTCAATATATAACCTTGCAATTATTAGATTTGGGCAGTAAAGCGAAATTGTTTCAAGAATATTGTGTGGTGGCGGATGGTGATGTATGAAGGAAGTAATCGTGTTGGTGGTGGGCAGTGCAGAGATGTGAGAGATTTCCAACTCTTCTAGGCTAGTATTTGCCCTGTGAATCAACGATTCAAGGATCCCACTAGGAGCGGAAGAAACTACAATATTCGTAATGCGGGATTTCAACTGGCCATCACTATTTGATAAATTGGAATCACAGTTTGGTAAGTAATAGCAAGAATTCAGCATCAGCAGATCTAGCTTGGTTTCTGAGGTGAGCTTCAATAGGGAACACCAATCTTTAAAGTCCACCCTGACAAAAGTTATTGTGCGCAACGAATGTACTTGAGTATTCAATGCCGTTATGATGTCATCCAAACCCAGCCCACAATAACCCAGTTCAAAATGGTGTAAATTTTTTTGTGATCTGATCAGAATTGCAATGCCTTCCACCTGAGCTTCTAGACTATCCATTCCACCTTTCAATGGATTTTTTTGGTTATTGATATTCACTGGCGGATAATAATCCATCCATATTTTTATTTTTCTCAGATTGACTACGGATTTAGAAAGTGTCGTATACAACTCTGCATTACAGGCGGTTGTGCAACTGAATTTGGAAAGGTTAGCGAGGTGGTAATTGGTGCTAGACAGTAAAGAATGCAACCACGAATAAGGTTCCATCTGATTACTAATGCTTAGGGTTTTTAGCGTAATCGATGGATTCCTCAATAATTTTCCTAGAATGGTTCTATTATAGATATCTGCTCTTGCTCTGGATGATGTAACGTTGGTATTATTTGAGGAGGCAGCGTCAGCAATAGCAGATATCAATTTGTTATACCCCAAACGTTGGGGTTTTGCTGCTGCTGTTTTTGTATGGCCAAAAATGCTCATGTTGGATGAATCATTCTCGTGATGAGATGACATAAAGCGATCGTTATGATGATTCCTCTTACCTTGAGTATTTTCAGCCATTCCAAGAAGCGCATTCGAGAATTCTCCGATGTCCAAACTTTTCAAATATTGAAGATAATTAAAGGTAGGTGGTTTGTGTTGCAGAGGTTGCCTTAAAGTACTGCGATGTCTGTCGGTGGAAAGGGTGTCTTGGTATTGAATGCAAGAAGAGTACGTTTGAACGAGACATGTCGCTCGTTCATTCCACGACCTGTTATTACTCAGGTCGTCCCTACGACACTTTTCTAGTGATTTAAAAGGTTGGAGCCATAAAAATATCAGGGCATTTTCACACCAAAGTCTATTAACCAGAGCGCATGAGTGCAATGACGCGGTGTCTTTACGAAGCTCTTCAAATACTTTTATCAATATATCTGAGGGCAGATTCATTGCCATGTTTAATTTTTAAGATTTTGAAAAGTTTGAAAATTGGGAAGAGCCCTTAAAAAATTCAGTGCAGCGCTTATATACTGATCATTGAATCACGAGCGCAGTTCATGTATGTACAGTCTAACTTACAGCAGCGACCCCTTAATAAGGTTGTTTGCTTACTCTCACCCATCACAGATTAATTAAATTAACAAATTTTATTTCATTATTGATGAATCAGATATTTGTTAATATCAAAAATTAAATGTTAGATCGTGGTGAGATTAAATCTCACAAAGTCCGTCTTTGTCGGATACACACTCTCAAAAACTCCTGATGCACGTGATCTCTTAAAGAAAAACGCTGCTTAGTATAAAAGTGGAAATCCCCATTCACAAATTCGCACCCGCATAATCATCTATACTTTTTCGTTCTATTATCACCAGGGAGGTGTCAAATCTTCCTTGCTCTCGATTATGGCCATCAGGACGTGTGGATGCAATTAACGAATGAAAGAGAAGAAGACCAATTAGTGGCTTAAACAGATCGATCATGTAACCAACCAATTAAAGAATCCAAGTAAGTTCAAAGATATGATCGCCGCATCGGAAAATAATGATGTAATGAATTTCCGATCCCAAAGGCCATATTCTTGCTAACGTCCTCGTTGGTAAAGAAACGTTTGGAAATCATGTTAACCGGGATGAAACCCTTATTAAATTAAACAACGCTCCTTCTGAGGCAAGAATATTTGATTGAAGAATTTCCCAAATTGAAGACATGCTACCGCGTGACAGGAACGACAAGGTATCATCTCAATATTTCAAACTGTCTGACTTTTGAGTCAGTCAATGAAGTCTTCCACAGAACTTTATTATTCTAATCTTCGTCAATTGACGAATGAATTAAATGTTGACTCATAAACTCTACCACAAAAGCGGTAATACATAAGCATTACCTATTATTAGATCGATAATCTGTTTATTTTTTTTTATATAATGCATTGCTTAATTGAGATATGAGATAACAAGTTTTTTCGAAGAAATCTATCTAATTACGCACGGCCAATTGCATTTTATTCCGAAAGCTTAAAACTCGACACATGATCCTGTTCCTTTTGAAGACGTCATTAGAAGGCTGACGTACTTCACAATAGAAACTCACGGAATCTAGTTTCCCG